AAGAACAATGAGAGATACAGACTTGAAACTTTATAAATATATGTAAAAACAGTAGCTGAACAAATGTTATTAAGAGTTAAGAGGTTGTTAACTTAATAAAATTTTCCGTAAATTGAGAAAAACGTAAAAATTGTTGTGACGAAATTTTGTGTACAGATGATAAGCAGAAAGAGTTTATTTTCTTAAATTTATATTAGTTATTTATATTTATATTCAGAATGTAAAAATATTAAAAACAATCTGGTCTTGAAGTAGAGCTTCAAGGTCGAAACTTTTGGTTGCTATCTCAACTAGGTCAGTGGGTCTTCTGCAATGTTTTAAATATTATTATATTATCTAATACTATTCATCCTAAATAGATATATATATATTTACATGTATTTTCTTTTTCAGCAGCTGTTACTGTATTTATTTTTTGTTAGGAATATACTGTTTTTCTCACTTTTTGATAAAAAATTCGTAAAGTGCAAAGAGTGGAGTTTGGTGTAGGGTTTCAGTTTGCAAATATCCTTAAACTTTAGTAAAGAGTATATTGAAAACTCATTTGTTGTTCTTTTTTAGACTAACTATTATCTAATTTCATAAGCAGAAGCAATGCTTCTATTAAAATTTTTTGTATAAAAGCACCACCTTGCCAGTTATCTTGTATAAGAATACTTTTAACTTGCATATTAAATATATAGATGAGTTCAGAGTAAATTGCAAAAAGTCTTGATCTTTGTAAAAACTATTATTATATAATTGTTTCTTTTACTTTTCTCTAACAAGTTTTCTGTTTTCATTAACTATAAGTTTAGTACAAATAATTATCAAGAAGAGTTGAAAAAAGTCAATTGAAATTATTTTATTTTCTGTCTTTAGTTAAAATGTTTAAACTTATACAATTACTAAAACTTTTATTGCTTAAACAATAAAAAATTTCTAAAATTATATATAAGTTTGAATACTTAAATAAATTTTACTATTAAGTCAAATATAGAGATATTTATATCTAAAACTTTTTTCTTACTAAGTAAATCACTCTTAATCTTATAATAAAAGTTGTAGAGCTCATAAAGATGCATCTATAGTGATAAGAATATTAAAATTAGTCTAATGGTTCTCAAAAAATGTTTTGTTAATATATTAAAAAAAACAAATTTTTTTAAGAAATTTTATATCAATAAAACGTTTTTCAAGAACTATCAGGCTGATTTTAATATTTTCACTACCATTAGATATATTTTGATGTGTTCTACAACTTTTGCTATAAGCTTAAGAGTAATTTACTTAGTAAAAAAAGTTTTAGATATAATATCTCTATATTTACTAATTAAAGAATTTATATATAATTTATATATAAATTTTGTATAACTTGTATTATATAGCTCTTCAGATGACTAACAAATCATCTATTAAAAGTAACAAAAATAATAATTATATTTTGATATACATGCATACAAATATAAATATTATTAAAAGATTATAATAATATATATACTGTATACTGCATATACTGTATATACTATATTAAATTTATTAAAAGTGAATATGCCAAATTTAGAATATTTATTAGAAATGTCTATTTCTATTATAGTATTTTGCTATTTCTACCATTATTATATAAAAATTACTACAGTTAGCCTTCTCAGAACCGATCCTGTCAAAACTGATAACCTGCCAAAATCGGTTAAAAATCAATCCATCAGACATCTGTTCCATAAGTAATAACCGATAACCTGCTATTTTTGATACTAAACCCATCCACAATGCATACTGGTTCTGAGAGGTCTGACTGTATTTTTAATATTTAATATAGAAAATATAATAAATTAATATAAAAAATTAATTTTTTTCAAATTAAAGAAATTTTTTATTAAGTTAGAGGTTGTTGTATTTCTAAATAAAGTTGTAAAATACCTTATTCTTACTAAAGATGCACTTTGTAATCAGAAAACAATCTGGCTTTTATTTCAAGTATAAGTAAAGTTTATGATTCTGTTAATCTTATCCTTCTTCAACAGTTTCTTCAATATGCTTTGCTTTTCCTACCTTTATTATAAACACTATTATTAATTTGTTTACCAATTAACAAAATCAAGTAATTATAAATCTGGTTCTTATTCCCTCATATCCTATATTTAATGGTATTGATCAGGATGAAACTATTACTTCTCTCCTATAGATAATATACTATGATCTACTTATTTCATATATTTATAACAACTTCAAAGACTATACTATACAAGTCTTCTAATCAACTAACCTTAAATACAAATATTTAACAAGCTTGATTTACATTGTTTAGTTCTTGCTTATATAGATAGTACACTTTGGATTGCATTATAATAACATAAACTCTCACAAATTCTCTTAATATCAGAATTCTTTTACAATATGGTTAATATCCAAATTAATCACTTCAAATCTATACTTACAACTAATAATTCTTTATACAATTATAGCTCTATTACTTACAACAATCATTTATTTAACCTTCATTTAAATCAATCATTTAAGTTTCTTGGATGCTGGTTTACATTTGACAACAAACAAGCAAAACAGATTAAGTTTATAATGGCTGAGTTATTACACCTTATCAAAATAAGTACTAAACAAATTACTTTTTTTTTTAATTTATAAAGGTGAGGTCATGCCTTTATTTTTATTAAAATTCAATTAAACTTTTTTACAAATTAAATAAAGAAATTACATTATTTAAACTTTATATCTATAATAAGGATCTGCAACCTGGCATGTACCTATGCCTAACAAAAAATTTTAAGGCACCGGCACGGGCATGGGCACAGGCACTTTTTTTGTTTGGCATAAAAATGCCTGGCATTTTTGTATCTATAGGTTACTTTGTGCCTGGTACTTTTGTGTCTGATTTCGTTTTTGGCTTAAAAGTACTAGAACATAGCTATGCCTAAAGTAGTGTTTTGATCTGGTTGGTTTATAATTGGTTAACTGAACCAAACTGAAGAAATCCGGTTATCTGATTGAATAAAATGCTTAATCGGTTAATCTGACATTTTTGCTTAATCGGCTAATCTGATATATTTGCTTAATTGGTTAATCTGACATATTTGCTTAATCGGTTAATCTAACATATTCACAGTTAACTGATTACGTACTAATAGTTAGTGAGAAAATTCTTTTCTTTATATTCATAATCATAGATCTCATAGATCTGACACACCGTTGACTTTGATTTTTTTTAACACTTAACTATTTAGGATCTATTTAGACTCTTTTTATTTTTAATATTTAAGTCGTCTAGTTTAACTATAAGCTTTACTTAATGTCCATTTATACTATATTGTATTTTATACAGATCAAAGTTGCAAAGACAATTATAGTATATAAATCATATGTGTCTTTGGTACAACTAGTTGGAAGAATAGTACAAAGTATATACACAAAAGTACTATAACAGGTATAATGGGTTAAATGAGGTAATATTGTTTTTAGTTAACCCGAATATTAAAATTTTATTCAGGCGAGTAAAATCTTGTGTGATAAGTATTTCTTTAAAAATCTATTTTTTTTTTGTTTATACAAATGAGAATTAGGAAACATGTTAATAAAATTATCATTTCTTTTTAGGAATAGTATTTGAGAAACCAATCTTAGTTTTAAGTTAGAACGCCGAAGGGAAATATGATTTCTAGTATCAGAGAAAATACGTTCGCTGGGGGCTGAAGTAGCAGGAACACCAAGATATTTTTGGGCAAGTTTAGAAAGGTTTGGGAATCGAGATTGTTGCTGCTTCCACCATAAAAGAGGGTCAAAATCATTAGAAACTGCTGGAGTTTGTCTAAAATCAAGGTAATAATCTAATTCGTCCATAGATTCTTGTGAATTTTGAGATTCACCAAATATAATGTTTTTAAACATATTATTGGAAGAAATATTTGTGGGGTTGGATGAAATAGGATATTCTTCAGATAGTGGCATCAATTGACGAAGCTGAGAATGACATTCTTCAATAGTATGATTATGAACATCATCATTTGCAAAGGTCATTTTTCTCAGTCGGGGGTCTAACAATGTCGCAAGAAGGCAAATTTGTGATGGATAGTCCCAATATTCAAAAAGGGAGTTGTAAATAATAATTTGTATCTTTTTTACAATTATTTCAGGATTATTCTCAGATCGATTTTCTTGAATATTAACGGATATGTCATTTTCTTCTTCAGATAAATCAGATTCTGAATCAAAATTAAATGCTTCTTGAAAACCTATTTAATATTAGAATAGGTTATCATGGTTAGTTTTGATTGTAATCTAAATAGTAGAACTGATTGCTTATATCCGTTGTCACTTTCACAAAGTTCATTTTTTTTAAAATACCATTTTACCAAAGTCGTAATGCCAACAATCTATTTTACATTTTATTGACAGTTTATTTTACTGACAGTCATTTACCAACAAAGTAATTCTAACTATTGTTATTAGGATCAGGTTTATAAGAGTTAAGGTCCTGTTGGTGAAATGAGCTGTCAGTAAAATAATTAATGGTGAAATAAACTTGTTAATTAATTAATTTCAGTGAAATAAGCGATCTATTTCAGTTCTGTTAGTAAAATAGATTTTTAGTATTATAACTTCAGTAAAATGGTATTTCTGAAAAATAGATCTTATGAAGTTAACCCAAAACCCTTATAATTCTGTCAAATTTGCTGATTGTTTGAAGTAAAAACTATGTTTAATCAAATGATCTGCAAATTATAAGCAATTATTTCTACTATATATTTAGCTTACAATTAAAATTAGCCGTAATATGTAAATACTAAAATATTTATACCTTTATCATTATCATAGTTATCTTCATCTAAATTTGGAGCATACTTAAATTTTATCACCTCCATTAACGGATGAATAAATGATAGAGTAGGATATCGCCCGCCACTGAAATACTTTGTAGCACTATTGAAAGGTTCTAACAACTCAATTAGTTTTTGAACAACCTTCTATTCATTATCACATAACATCAAGTTTTGTAGTTTTTGGCCATCTTTTCGTGAATCCAGATCTTCTTGAAGAGGTAATGTTACTGAAAGCTATTTGATTGCATGATGCAGTTCAATTAGCCTTTTCCATGCTTGATATTTGGAGTTCTAGTGAGTAGGAACATCTTTAATAATTCATAATATAGGGGTAAATTTTTCAACATTAATTTTACACCTAGCCGTTATTTCATCTGCATCTTCAGAGCTACTATCATAATCTAAATGTAGGGTTGTATTACAAATTAAATTCTACAGTTATTTTTAATTTTATATAGGTTTCAGTAAATTATATTTTATGTAATTTTAGGAATTATATATGTTCAAAATTACAAATTACATGAAATTAATTTACTGAAACTTATTACGTATACAAATTACAGTAATTTACACAAACCTGAATTATCTGATAAAGCTAAATTATCTTTAGGTAAGCTTTTCTGTTTGTTTTTACACATTTCAGTTTGAGCGTTATCTAATCTTTGACTTTGTTTAGGTGAGTCAAAAAATTTAACCAAGTCTTGGATATGGTGTATTTGATGATGCTTTTTTTTGAAAGCATGATTAATTAATAACTGAAGAGTGTGTGCCGCACATAGCAATCTTTTTACACCATCTCAGCCCCGTATAGCTGCTACCATGTTACTACCATTATCAGTAATGATCTATAAAACTTTAGTTAATAAATTAAACTCTGAAACTACACGAACGAGAAATTCTCTAATAACGTGACCAGTATGGGGATATAACATCTGCTCTAAACAAAGTAAGATTTCATTTAACTCAAATTGATCATTTATCCAATGTGCAGTTACTCTAATATATCTAGTTTTATTTCTTGCAGTCCAAAGATCAGTGGTTAGAGAAACAGTTTGACAACTTTCTTCTAAAAGATCCTTTATTTGATTTTTAGCACTTAAATTTGCTATTGATATTTCTTTTTTTAATACTTTGTAAGAAGGTCGACGGAAAGCAGGATCTATTTGCAACATAAATCTATGAAATTCTTCTCCGTTAATAGTATCAAATGAACGATTATCAAGAACAAGCCATTCTACTATAGCATGATGAATATTACGTTTTTTTTTTCCTTTTATAAGGAACAACACACTGTAACATATCTTCAATAGACTGTTGAGAGCCTGAAGCTCTTACATTACTCTAAATTCATTAATTTATTAATTTTTTTTTATTACTGGTTAAAAATTAAAATACTCATGTTAATAGCCAAAATTTGAATATTACATGATTTCACAAACATGCATGTCCGCGAAATCATATAATACTATAGAATGAATTGTGCCTATTCAACTTGTTAAAAATTTTCAAATTTTACAAGTATATATATAATATAAAATCTAACTGTTTACCTTTTTTTTTTGAAAATCTACTAGATCATGTTCGTCTGCAAGGTGTGAATTCATATTGAATGTTAACCAACCGGATAGGTACTTATATGACATTCCACAAATTTTTTCCTCTCTAGTTTTTTTATCTTTAATTTTAATTTTATATATTGATTGTTCACCCTTTACTTCAAAATATTTCCAGCATTTTGCGACTAATTTATCTGATTGATGACGATGTTTGTTTTTTTTCAGGTATTTTGTATATTTTTTTGAGAACTTTCAGATTGAGAAGCATTTGATATTTGATCAATTTCTTGAGAGTATTCCATTTGTAAAATTTCTTCTAAATCACTATCTGACATTTTCGTGCTTTGGAATAAAAGTTTCAAGATAAGTCACTATTTATTAATCTCTTTGAAGCCAATTTTACTAATAAATTTACACAATAGTTATATATTATATCAGATACAATATAACTCATTGTGTTTAAAAAATTAGATATTTTGAGATATCATTATATCAATATTAATACTTATACAGAATGTTGATATAATACTATTGTTAGATACATATAGGCGGCATCTATAATTTATGTTAAACCAGCATTGTTATGGGAATTTTAAAGATAATATAAAAATAATACCATATGGTATTATTTTCAAAGTTTTATTTTTATCAATACGGTATTGGTTTGATATAAATTATGAATACCATCACATATGTGTTCGTGTTATATTATTGTTTTTTTTTTTAAAAAAATTTGTTTCACATGTTATTTATTATTCTTTCAGACTAATTTGTCTGCATTACAGATAAAGAAACAATGGGTCATAGTAATAATGTAGTTTAAAATAAATACATCAGAATTAAGACTGTGAATATTAACTGAGTACAGCATTGTTAAAACTTAGTGCAGTTCTTGGTGCTATGTTCAACAATACTGTATTATATGTTTATAAAACTATAGACTACCAGTGTGCAATAGATTATCTAACAATTGCATTCTAATCGAATTGGATTTTGATTAGCTTCGATCTAGTCTTAATCTTGGAATTACTATGGTAGATGAAGCTGAAATTTCTTGATGTTAAAATTTTGTTGGAATGTTTTGTAGACTTTTTTTTTTAAGCTAGGATTTAGGTTTTTTAGAAGGAATATATATGGATTTTAAGAAATGTTATCGATTTAAATGGAGATCTCAAAATATAGCATTATTTGAATTTAGCGTAAGCTGCCAATTATTATAAAGGGACATGTGACTAAGGATATTACTGTATAATAATGCAAGATTATGCTCTTTTCAAATTATACATATAAAACATTCAAAATTTGTAAATCTTATATGTTACTATTGTAAAAACAATGAATTCATTGGGTTTACAAAATTCGATTGTCTCACTAATTTGAAAAGGTGATAATGATAATGTGCAATCTGTAACACACAATATAGTAAATTGGCATTTTTAATTCACTGAATTTGCGGAATTTGCAGAATCCACAGTTAAATATTGTATTTTATTGTCTAATGATTTTGGATTTACTATTGTTGGCTTAAAACAATACTTGATATATACTCAAATAAAGTTTTTTTTTATGTATTTTTGCTGAAATTGAATATGCATTTAAATGTTAAATGTTATAAAAATTATAATCCGGTTGACCGGTTGACCCGATTAGGCCAGATAACCCAGGTTAACTAAATTAATTGATTAGAAATTTTGATCGGTTAAGCTGGGTAAGTTGGATAACTTGGGTCAACTGAGTTAACCGAAATAATTTCGGTTAACCCGATTAAAATCAGGTAGACCGGGTCAGATAACCGATTAATAATTTTGTTATTGGTTTAAATCACTAGCCTAAAGTGTCAGGTACATTATACAAGTGCCGAGCACTTTCTTAGATATGTCACTAAAATGCCTAGAACTTTTTTTAGGCTGGTACTTTTGTGTCTATAGCACGGGTATGCTATAGATATTAGTGCCCAGCATGGTGCTTAATATGCCTGGCATGGGCATATGCAGAACTCTAATCTATAAGATACTAAGACTAAAAACTCAGACAGAACTAAACAAATTACTGATACATATGTATAATATATTATTAATACAGTTATTGTGGCAAATCATAATGAAATCCAGATCAAAATAAAATTATAATATAAAATCTCAAAAAATAAAATTTTTGGTGTACATTTTTTAAAGATAGGGGTTAAGGTTAGGGGTTAGTTTTAAAGTAAAGTTATAATAAACAAGTATAAGTAGGTTTTAAAAGATTAACAGGTTGAGTAGAAATTTTAGATTTTATTTTAAATTATGATCTGCAACAGTTATTATTCCTGCAATTAAATATCATCTGCATAATATTGTTCTCAGCCAGAACACATATAACAAAATCCTTATTAACTATATTAGACTTGTCAAAAGCAAGGCTAAACTCAGCTATACTATTCTTACTAATACATTACTCCATCCTTAATTATATAATATTTACAATATATAGGATATTCAACTGCAACACCATATTACAAACTTTATTAAAAGGCTCAATTCTTATGATCTTCTTGGTATTAATATATGAATTTAACTTCAACAACTACAGAATAACCTTTAGTCATCTACTAGTATATTGATACATAACAATCCTTATATTGATAGACCCAACAAATATACAACTAATTTTAAGATTATTCAATTTTTCAAATATCTTAGTATAACATTTACTTCTAACCCAATATACAATATTTTATATACTATTCAAAAGGGTTTTATCTCTTTAGAATCTTTGCTTTCTTCATATTCTAATTATTCAACCTTTAAAAAGCAACTTAGATATCATCATATTTTATACCTTAATCAACTTACTATTTTGATAATTCATGTTTATTAGACTAAAAATATATATCTCCTCATATATACAAGATATTAAAAGACAAACAACCACTTTGGTTTATTTATTTAAAAAATCTAATTACTAGTCACTCTTCTAATTGTATACTTTACCAACATCTACATTTACCTCAAACAAACTATTACAGTTATACAACTGAACATTTTTCTTCACAAAAAAAGCCATAGCTTATTATAGTATATAATAATCAAATTATCACTAGCAAAGTAAGAAGACAACCTTCTTCATTTAGAAATATTTTAATTACTTATTGGCAATGCTATATTAAATTATAATTTACTCACTTCTATCCTTTTCCACCTATTCAATCACATATATGTTCTGGCTGTTCTCTTAATTTCCAAATAATTGCTAATAAATATATAGTTATTATCACAGATTAAAACGAAATCTGATCAAAACGAAATTTTTCTGTTTTTTAAAAAAATATAAAATTTTTTGGAGGACATTTTTTGGAGTTCTTTTTAGCATTAGGGGTAGGGTTTAGCGTTAGGTTTATTAATAAATGAGTATATGTGGGTTTTATAGGCTCTAAGGGTGGCCATGAGAGGTTACCAGTTTCATTTTGATCAGATTTCATTATGATCTGCGATAGTTATTATTCCTATTAATTTTTTAACCCAATTTTTTGGTTGAGTAAATATATCTAACAAAATCCTTAACTTTAATACCAACTATTTAGACCTTATATACTCTATTGCAATTAGACATCCTTTTTAAACTCTAAATTTATCTAATATTTGCATTGCTATATACTCAATTCCAATAATTTTTGAACCTAACTTATCAACAAACAATCTTCAACAGATCACTAACTACAATTTCAACTTATCTAAACTTCACTTCTATACTAATTGTTTTGTTATTAATTTAGAAACTTCACAATGCTCTATGGGTATTGAATGAGTTCAAATCTCTAACAACTCTATATTATATACATTTTATACTCAGACAAAACTTTGGTTTTGTTTATTTAAGGCAGAACTTGTAGCTATTTTATTAGCTCTTATTAGTACTCCCAGAAACTGTACTATAAACATATATACTGATTCTTAATCTGTAATTTCTAAATACCAAAATCTTGCATATTTTTCTACTACTTTATCATATACATATAAGCCATATTTTTCACTATAGAACACACTTATTAATTTTATCAAATCTTATAATATTTATATTATATTTCATAAAGTTACTGCTCATCAAGATGATAGTTATAATAATCTTGCTAACCAACTTGCACACAACCATTATATATATATATATATTTTTTTTTCACTTAGACAAGATTGCGCCAGTGACACTGTTTATTAAAGTCATCATCTCATAGAAAATGCTAAAGCAATAAAACTTAAGTCCTGACATCCTACGGCTACTACGCCTTCGAGCACCCATAGGCGACCTGCCACACCAGTGAGATATATAAAATATACCCTAACCGGAGAGCTTGTCCGACCACCACCCTACAATAGGATATCGCCAATTTGATGATATCTTCTCATAGGAAAGTGAAAGAAAAAGAAAAAATTTTTAAGAAACACAGAGGTATAGGGGAATACGGTAAAAAAATACAAACAAGAAAAGAATGGGGTAAGAGAAAAACAAAGAAAAACTAAACTAAATACGGGATTTTTCATTCGCACCAGACGATCACAATTATAAGCCTGTGTCAGGCTCTGTAAAAATTACATACTACTATCTAAACTAGTCTCTACTCTAATCTATATACATAGTATATCTAAGATAAGAAAAAAAACCCTGCGACAAGATAAAAAAAAATAGCTTCTTCGACATCAGCACCATAGAGAGGTCGGAAAGGTTGGAAAGGTCAGAAATTCACACCAGAGATCCCGAGTTATTGTTTGTCCAGGTTGTCACATTTGAGGCACGTAATACATATGTCCAGTTCCATAAGATCTATGTGTTTGTTGTGACGGGTAAAAACATAAACAATGCGACCAATTTGGTAAGTAAACAATATGTCGATCTTTTGGAGAGGGTAAGCTAAATCGTCCACTTTTTTATAAAATTTTCTCCAAATAAAAGTGGAGGGACAACGAGAGTATGTGAGATTCTTCTGTAAGTTTTACAGTTGTATAGGCAATTCTTCAAGCTTCCACTATCTCAGCGAGAGTCTTTTGACTACTATTTGTTCCCAGAATAGACCTTCTAGTTTGGATACCAAATAACTTAGAGAATCCGTTCAATAAATTAGCAAAAAAAAACTTGATCTCAAGAAAAACCGTCCAAGTTACGCCCGCTCCTTGGTGTATCATGTCTTTTGAACTTCGTTGACAACAACCTGCACAAAGGTAAAAACAGTTTCCAGAATACCCTTCTGGTTTGGATGCCGAATAACTTAGGAAGTCCACACAAAAAGGGAAAGGTTTGACCCCAAGAAAAACCGTCCAAAAGGCGCCTGCTCCTCGGTGTATCACGTCTTCAGACTTCATCG